AGGAGAAAGAAATAAAACGTGGAGGGGATTTACCTCCGCGTGTCCTCGCTTTTACGCTCGATCTTAAAATAGCGTCCGCGTACAAGCTACCGAAACGTCACGTACTCCTCAAACGCGGCGTCGGACATTTTCGTGCCGACTTGCGACACTCACTTCCGAGAGTTTCGGCTATTCCGGATTCAGAATCGCGCGGACCTTGTTTTACTTCTTCGCACGACACGGGAAGAGGAAGACTTAAAGGAACACTGCTCGGCTCACTTACGGTCCGCGTAAACGTCGATCGGACGAACAAGGATCAGCGATTAGCGTCGATTATCGGCAATCCTCGAACGAATTTGAGCATGTTGCCGGATCCTACATGCATTCGACGGATGACGTTGACGGCGCGTCTCGAGCGCGGCTTGAAAAATATAACTATCTAAATAGTTCAGGTAATTAGAATAGTGTTTGACGAATAATCAACGCTCGACTGTTTTGCCCAAATAATATCTCGTTGACCTCATGGACCCCGTCACACCAGCTAAGGGTTAAGGAAATGAATTGAAGTATGCTGAAATATATCTATCGCGCGCAATTATACACGAAACGTGGCCGAGTCACACGGTAAAACAGCGCAAACGATCTCTCGCAGCCTCGCAGCGTCTCGAGGATCAAAGGTGAAACGAGATCGTTATCTATACACAAGTCAAGTCCGCTCGATCATCACGCGGAGGCGGACGAGCGAATTCACGTGACGATTAATATCCGGTTGGAGGGCGAACAGGATTATCCTAATTACGAGACGGTACACCTCTAACGTCAATGAAAGGCCACCTAAGTTCCACGCGACTCTCTCGTTCTTCACTCGCTCGTTCTCGCACGCATCGCATCGCGGTCTAACAGATAGACGTTCGGATCTCACGAATAGCTGGATGGTGGGTTATTTGATTCGACGATCGGTGATTCGTAAAAAAAGGGCAGACGCACAGCTACGATAAGAGGTACGCTTGGAGGAAGAATTAGTCATGGAAGCTCGAGTCTGTAGCTGTGGCGGCTGAAATGAAGACAGCTAATAAGATAGTTAGATGCAGCAACGACATTACAGGTTAAATGCTGCAACTGCATTGTTCGCTGTAGCGGTCTCAGTTGGAGCAGCTAATGAATTTAGCTGCCTCTAGTTTAGCTCCTATTGCTAATTCTTTCTTCCTTCTTTTTACACACCGACCGTCAAATCGCGCTCGATGAGAAGCTTCCCCGCGGCTATTTGCGCTACCTCGTCGCGCTGCGCGATTCGAGAATTAACTCCGTGAAGAAATTCATCATTCGGCCCTCTCTCGCTCGGCTAGACGTTCCTTTGTTCACGTCAAAGGCGCTTTCCCGACGAAGTGCCTGTACTTGTTGCACGCCGCGTGTTTGCCCGAGACGATCGACAGGCTCGAATGTTGCCCCTGACACCGACAAAGCGCCTCCCCCTTTTTATTCCCGTTGCCGCAGTCCAAAGCGTATCGCAATTCGCTCGCCACTTCCGAGCACGCGGACTTCTGAAAGTTCGACGAAAAGACGATTGCGAAGTGTTCCACGTACTTGTGATCGAGTCGTGCAGCTCAAACTCCCTGCGCCGAGTCTGGACATTAATTTCTACTTCGCTTGCAAAGAGGCGGTCGAAAGTTCCGTCGACGAGAGGTAACTTTCGCCCGAAAATGTTTGAGCTGAAAGACTGCTACTTCATTTAAGCGCGCTGTTAAACACGACGATGGAAAAACGATTAAAGATGAGAGATTTTACCGCGGGGTGAAACGATTTTAGGTGTCTCAGAAAAAACCTCGGTCGAGCTTGTGCATGCAATGATAAATATAGATGAAACCAAGAAGTGCTTCGATATTTCTTTAACGTCAAGATCAGATCGTAAAATCGCGATGACCGTCGAATGATCGAATCTGTATGATCCTCTTCGGTTACGCGAATTAATTCGCATTATAATAGAGTGGCAGTGAGAGTAGACGTAAATAATGAACTCACCTCCTATGAATCCAATGACAGGAGAGAAGCAAGAAACATTGCGACACAACTAACAATGTCATACTAAACGCGCGCCCTTTCAACTTTGCTCACACAACTACGAATAATTGCAACATTTCGAAAACGCATTGTTCGTACAACAGTGACCTCGCCTCGAGAGGTATCCGTCTGTTCGCTAACTTTTCGGAATCCGCGTGCTTCTTCTGCATGAATCGGAAATATTTTACATTGTGACGAAGGGAGCATATGGATAGAAAAATGACGTTCCTCGAACGTGTGTATCGTCTTACGCGATCTAACATCGCGTGCTTTTATCGTTAAATTTTTACTTAGAAAAAATCATTTTAATTAATGGAATGTACGGCAGGTGCGGGAAAAAAATGGAGAAACACCGTGTGGCATTTCTCGAACGAATCCATTTGCTCCTCTTCGATAATCGATTATAAAGCCATCGTCGTCTCGAGAAGCGAACGGATTTCGCGCACACATACGATCGCATTTGGCTTGACAGCTACACATTATTTACAGTAAAACATTTTTTTTTTCTTCTCCTTCTTTCTTTTAACCTGGCACACTATACATTCACTATCTAGCCGGTATAAAATCGTGATTGTTCTCAAAGGTTCTCGTGTCGTACCGCAGCACTATAATTCAGTTGTGAACACTGCGGGACGTTGGTATTCGGTATTTTGATCGAGACGTTTGCGACTTCGCGAGGAGCAGGGTATCTGGCCCTTTTCTGCTGCGAGGCTTTCAAGTCTTCATTCATTAATCTAAGTTTTGATATGAGCAAATGGCAAACACGTTGACCTTTCCAATCTTTTTCTCTCTTCTTTCTTTTTATCATCACTCACATTTCGATTCGGATTATTGCACGCGTCGTAATAATTCATCGATTCTGATGAAAAATTGACAATACCGCTTCGATTCTATCGAATTTCAATAATTTATTCCCGATGAAAAAGAGAAGAGCGAAGAGCTGCTTGACTCCGATAAGGATGGTTGTTGATCGGCGCGTTCTGCGGAATATCGAATATTTTCGTATTTTTATTTCAAGCACCGACACTCGACGAGGAGGAATTTTACTATTCTTGAGCCGTCTCGTCGGAATAGTCGGGGTAGTAAGTAGTATCGATGCGTTTTAGAAAGTCTCGGGGGGTGGAGGAAAATTGGAAAGGTCAAGGCTCGTTGCTTCTCCTGTGTCCGATTAGTTTATTTGTCCCTATAATTTTACGATCTTTACACAGTGTTCGGTCACTCGTGATGGAGTTCTTCCTTAGGTCCACTGAACTCGGATCGGATACGCATTGAGGTACGGCTTGAGTTTAAGAATCTGTTTTCGTAGCGCAGCGCATACCGTCGCTAGTGCAGATCAGTAAAACCTTCGCAGATCGGTTTCCCCGACGATTTCTGCTTCTAAAACAAAACACCAAAATACCCGAGTCAGATTCGTTACATCAGTCATTGCGTAATGGTCGGGCAGCGAAGTGGATAAAATCGATATAATCATCACTCCTCGCGAAAAAGAAGAAGTAAGTGACGAACCAAAATGTAACCAGTAAATCTACCATGCTTGTGCTCTCGTTGCTTATTCAGCAATGTAAGCGTATCAGGCGATATCTATCATTAGTTATTGCAACTTTTACGTGTGTACGGAGTAAAATTATTCCTAGTTACACAGTAATAATAGTAGTACAAAATTTTGTGTTTGATTTAACATATTTCACGTATCCAAAATGGTCCACACAAATGTTTGTATTAATTTAATACAAGGTGAATATGTTGAAAGATAACAAATATTATGTCAAAAATTAGCACAAAATTAACATCCATAATATATAGTGTATTAATTGTGACATTATAAGTATAAGGTATATTATTTTAACACTTACACATGTTGAATGCCGATTCAACGCAAAATATTGAAATAACATAAACACAATATATTAAGTTAACACACGGGCATGTTGAAAATTTTAACAAGAGCCGATTTTAACATGGGTGCACAATTTTTTTACTGTATATTATCTAACGACGAATTTCAAGTGGTATTCATTTCGTAGTAGACATTTCGTAATTACGATCGGACGGAGTCTTACGCGCTGCGCTTCGCAGAAGTTCAAGTCGGGGATTTATTTCGAAACAACCGTACTTATTCATTGCAGAGAACATCGCCCTCTACGAGATCGATCTAAGCCGATTTGAATTTTTGGAGGGATTCGTGCTGAATTCCGTCCGAAGTGGCACGATTGAAAAAGAGGTACAATGATACCGGCGTTCGTCAACTCACAGACCCGTTTGCTTTTGAGTACGCGCGATCTGCGCAAAGCTGCACATTCGTATCTCTGGACGAGCCCTCTTCAAATAGTTGCATGTTTGCTTACCCCTCGAATGTATGCAAACTGCGGCTCGAATGCATATCGTAGACCGCGCGCAACTGTGCGAGAGGCTTTCCGCCATGCACGCTAATCTCATTTTTCTCTTTCGCGAACCCGACTCGAAATTTTTTCATTAAGTTGTCGCTGGCTGCGTTTTCACGGGGTCTTTCCAGTAATTACAACACTGTCGTGAACGCAACATCCCCCTCACTCTCTCTCGTTCGGGAGCGTTCGTGAGTGCTGCATCAACACACCATGGAATTGGAATAACTGATGTCACTCTCTGACGTGGGAGGAAAATATAACGGAATATAAGATCGTGTTGTACAAAGCTTTCAGAATGAAAATTTACCGAGGCTGCGAGATCTCTACAGAGATTCACACCCTTAAGCGCATATTTCAGATATTTGGACCGAAGGGTATTTAATTAGTGTAAAATGTAACATCCAATTTCCAAACTAAAGAGTTAGCTTCTAAATATTTGTATTCTCTTCCATCTTTCTTGATTTCCAAGAGTGTCACGTAACGACGTAACTAGACGTCAAATGTGAGGTAGAACAGAATTTCCTCCGACACGTTCTAATTATATGAACAAGAGATCCCCGCCATGTATTTTAGAAAATCTTTTGAGATCAGATTTCAATGCATGAGGTAGAATCAGGCGGTAGCGAAGGTAATCCTTTTACTTTGTGAACATCGCTAATTAATCCCAGGAAATCGATTTCCGCCGGTCCTCCTCAATGAAAATCCGTATGAGATCATTCGGAATTCACGAGCACGTAGGAGGCGTTTTGCGTTCTCGACCGGTCCGACTAACGACGATATTCGCGCGCAACGAGACAAACGACGCGCGGCGGAAAAGTGAGAGAAGCATGCGCGATCAGACCCGAGTGATTCTGCACCGAGACCATTAGAGAGGAACTCCACCAGCGTGCGGGCATCAACTGATGTACTCGCGCGGCATGTCGGGATAGATCGCGTCGGGGTCGAGCCGCGTGCCGAACCCCGGCGCGATTCCCGCCGAGGAGGAGGTGGTGCTGGTGGTCACCGCGCCTTCCTCCGCGTGCTATTTCACGTCACTCACCCGTTCCTCGATCGCGACCTTCCGGCTCTTCCACACGAACTCGCAGACCGCGATCACGCAGGCGACGCCCATCCCGCCCATAAGCACCACGAAGACGCCGCCGACGTTCGCCAGGCCGAGCTCGTTCGCCGCCGAGCTGCTCTTCGACGTGTCGTCCTGATGGCGAGAAACATCGATTAGCCTGTGGTGCATTAACGCGAGGGCGGTTACGCCGAATATGGCGCCCGGGGAAGCCTGGCGGTTTTCGCCCCGTTCATTATTGAGGCGGCGCGCAGGAGGCTGCACGTCGTCGATAATATCGTCGAAAATTCGATCGCACGAGCCCTCTCGGGCTGATGGATTAAAGCATCGAGGGCCGGACGCTGGTCCATTGATCGTTAAATTGTCCGGAGCACGCTACTTTCACGGCGCCGATTCCTTTTATCGACGCAGGGGCCTGTAATTTTTAAGCCCTCTCTCGAAAATATAGCCTTTGGAAGCTGCTCTTTTACGTTGCGTAAAATAAGGAATTCCCTCGGCAGGGAGTCTCTCTCTTTCTCTCTTTACGCGTCGAAATTTATCCCACCGACTTTTTAGCTAGAGGGATATAATTTACTATCATTGTGCTCTTGATTAAAAATGTGTACGTTTAACCCTCCGTCGGCAAAGAGGAGCATTGGAGGTTCAACCAGTCCTTTAATTGTGAATTCTAGAATAATAGGTATATGACGATGTTCGGTAATTTATCGTACAAAAATTTAGTTACAGTGACATGATATTGATGATTGTGCGTGTAAGGACGTTAATATATATAATAAATTTGTCTGTCTTGCATAATTTTTTTGTCACTGATTTTAATAATAAATATATCAAGATTTTTTTTTCCTGCAAAACAAATTTACTGAAAGAAGATGAAAGGAAAAGAAGGGAAATTGGTACAAATCTCCCTCCCTTTTGATTGCCTCTTTAAGTAGAATACAATTTGACGATTATGAATTAATAATCCAAGAATGAAAACGTAACTGCGCCGTTTGAATTTTTCGTCGGAAAATCATTACTTGCGGCTTATGTAAGTTGCACGAATATAGCGTTACATTTTTCGCGTACACCTCGGCTAGCGGCCGTTAGGGAACACAACAAGTTAATTCCTCTCGCATAACAGCAATCGTCCGTCTATGCTCGTCCGTCAAACGGCGGCGAGTTCCTTCGCGATGATGCAGCCGACGAATTATCGGGAGAATTTATCAGCGCAGCTGCGCGAGAAATAGCAGCGCGTGCAGTGATCGCGAGCTCGGCGAAGCCTCGATTTCACGAATTCGCGAAATAGTCTCTCCCGCGTGCCGTCTCAACCCCCGAGCGTCTCCGGCGGACGAGAAGGGTTGCCTGGAGTCTAGTGCAAGAATTTCGAGCGCGCACTTCTTGACTGCGCTACGGCGCCAGAATACTCTCTAGTGAGAAAAGTAAGGGAAGCGACGATGGGCTAAAAGCGATTTTACACGGTCCCCTTCCAACAGTCGTCCCATAAAGTGATGATGATGAGGGAAAGACAAATAATAGTCAGTTAAAGCGACGAGACGAGTGAAAGGTTCCGTTAGTTCAATTTCAGAGAGAACCGATGAAGGCTATCCTTACTGAATGATTTCGTCCAGCAGTGATAACATATTCACTGCAGATCCGAGTGTGTGGTGAGGTTGTAAAATATATGTACATTTATGTGATTTGATTTTCTATATAAAAGTCACACGCTTTCGGAAGTAAAATAATTCATACATTTAAATGTAATTTAACATATTTCACCGTGTATAGTACGATACATATAATAGTAAAAAGTGTATAGAAATGAAGGAATATGTATTTTCAATTAATGTAAATGTGTAAAAAAACAAATAACTTTACACATTTAGGTCCTTTTACACATGTATTTATGAAAAAATGTGTATTAGTTTAGGTAGAACATTTTTAGTGTTTTCCGGTGAAAAGTCCAATAAAGTTTCTATTTAATTTTTATACATTTAATTTTTATTGTTCTTTGTAATTAAAAAACACTGGACTTTCCAGATAATTATAATTATACAAATAATATAAATTTGCAACCCGCCAAATTTATTATAGAAGTATATATTTGCAAACGAGATATATTTTATGCTTAAAATTCACTACGTTCATGATTAACCGATGATATATATTTTTTATTAGAAAAAATAATAGAGGATAAAGAAATATTGAATCTTTATACGTAAATTACACGTTTTTAGATGTAATTTAATAATGATTAAACTTAAACATGTAAATGTATGTATTTAACTGCGTAAAATAATGCAGATGCAACGTGCAGCAAAATGACATGCGTGAAAATGCATGAAAGGTAACTGCACGATTTTACACGCGTAAGTAAAAATTATACACTTGGATTTGCAATGTTGACGTGTTACGATCGTTTTTGCGCGAATACATTGCAACTGTTGGCTTTATTCATAATTTTAAATTACAATGGAATATTTTTTAGTTTGAGTAATTTCTCCTTCCGGGGATAACTACCAAGTTAAGATTTAATGATTTTTTACCTGTGTGGCGTCGTTTCTTTTTATCGCTTCGATTTTTCCGGGAATCTTTATTACGTGCGGGACTCGTGTTTTCCGGGGTCAGAAATAAACCGTGTAAGTACGCTTTAAGGTACGTGTTTGCTCACCCTGCAAGAGCCGCCGCCTCGCTTCTCCTTCCACCAGCGCGTCTTCAGCATGTGAAGCTTCCCTTCCTCCTGAAGCTTCAGGATGGCCCCGCTTATGGCCGTTCTGTACGGCGAGTCTGAAGTTCCAAGGTCGTTTTGAGGAACTCGTCCCGCTGCTTTTATCGCCTCGTAGCCCCCCCCCCTCCCCGTACTTTCGCGAAACTTTGAGAAGTACCGTTGCGGCAATCGTTCCCTCGCGCCAACGTTTCGCCGGCAATTTTGCGCGATCGCTTCCTCCGGCGCGCGGAGGGCACTTCTATCGACCGGGGCACGTTCGCGCGCAGATCAGCAGGACGAGACCGGCAACGCGGCCGCGATATTCCATTCGATCTCCCGGGATAAGCTGACTAACATGCCCTCGCTCCGCGCGCAGAAGGGAATTCGCCGAGGGAACGACTCGCATTTCCTTTCCATCACTTCCATTTACACGGGGAAGAAACTTCAATTAAACGTGAAATTTACTCACACATACAGGAGCGAAAAAGCAAGTGACGCGAAACGACGTGTTTCTTCCGCAAAATCGAAGCGTTCATTCGATCCCAAATTTACACGAGAAGAATTTTCTACTTCGAATTATATCTCACACGGCTTCACGTCGTCAGATTCTATCCTATTCGTTTCATAAAGTCGCGGATGAAGCAACGACTATCTTCGTCTTTATTATCCGGCGTTAACGCGAAATTCTTACGGTCTGTAAATTCTCTTTCTATTTATCGCGCGCACACGCTTATAAAGCGTTTCCATTAGGACTTACTTGGCGGCATGGCTATTCCGTATCCCTTGGAATCCAAGAGACCGCCGACTTGAGTGAGGTCGCAGTTCCTCTCGATTACGTATTCGATGGAGGTGGATTCCATCAGGAATGCGTAACTGCCTTTACCCTTGATCACTCGATCCACGCCCTCGACGTTACTCGATGTAAATACCGTCGGTTTCGCTGAATCCATGAAGGACCACATGCGTTGGTACGTCGAGAAATTGGAATCCTAGATCACGCCGGGAATTTCGTGGTTGAGTACGCGTGCCGCTAAACGATGGAACGTCAGTGGAAATCGGTTAACCCCGAAGTAGGCATGCCTTACTTCGGGGAAGCATCGCATCTCGTTTACGTCCCTAATTGCACGCGTCAACGCTCTCGAATTAATAGCGGAATATTGTCGGTCGCGGTTCCGCTGTTACTCCGATCGGATTCTTAGCTCGCCGCGACTTCATTGTGTCGGGGATAATAATACAGAAAGCCAGCGCGAAATTCTCGAGAAATTACTCTACGGTCTTTCGATTAGAAATTTCCCGCGTGCCTCTCGCGCCCCTGTTGCGTGATATTCTTCCATAACTCGACGACGTCATGTATGCCCTATCATTCCCCGGATCGAGAATTGCACGATTTTTGCCTTACATTAAAGTAGAAAGCATTACAACTAGAATTACGTAATTGGCGTTTTTTGAATTTAACATTCCTACCAGGTGTCTTAGCTAAAAGTCGTCAACTCTTGATCCGCGGACAATCATAAGACGTACACATACACACACACACACACACGTGGCGCGGAAGATACGACGACATTTGCGAACATTGCGTGAATTCTCACCCTGAAGAAGGCCGCCGTGCTCCCGCCTTTGAGAGCACCGTACTTGATCTTCGTCTGCTTGGCGAGATCTTCGGCGCTCTCGATCGGGGAATCCATCCTCTCGACGGTGAGGAAAGCCGCCAGATTAGCCGTATACGAGGAGATCATGATCAAGGTGAAGAACCACCACATACCCGCGACCATGCGTGTCGACACGGCCCTGCGACAAGCGTACCGAAGGCTGCAGACCGGTTTACTATTAGCGCTCGCGCACGCTAGCTAAAATCCGTCTGAGTTTCGCGAAATAGTTCTTCGTACTAGCCTTCTCTCGTTAGCAGAATAAAGTGTCGAAAATGTGAAAAAAGTATCAATAGCACCTGCCGCGCGCGCGTTGCCGGAACTTTCCGAGAATAACTTCGTTTCCTTCGGGGCTAATGGAGCGTGCGGAAGTTCGCTTTATGTAACGAGCGGATATAACCGGTCTCGCAGTTAAATGATTCGCGTTCGCTATTAAACGGCAAATACGGGGATTGCCGGGCGGAACGGACGTATGTATGTGTGTACACGCGTGCGCGAGCGAATTATTTTACACGTGAAAATTGGTGCGCATAATACATAAATACGATTATATCGTGTATATGGAATTGTTGGAAACTACTTGCGTAACGGCATTCCAAGCTAGTAGCGCATGCTGCGCGCGCGATCTCGTGCATTTCGATAACGAGAAACGAGAGTGATAAGGGCGAGAAGCACTCCGATTAATTTTACCGTCTTCGCATACAGGGTGTCCGATAATTTCCCCCGTGATGTGCAGGAAGAGCGAACGGAAATGTCGTGTCGCCAAATTCGCAATATAGTTCATGAAAAATTAACCAATTAATCTGCATGTGAGTTGACATATGAGTTAGTGGGAAGCGGTAGGTCGGAATCTGTACGAAGAGAAATGGCTTACTTCTGAAGATCTCCTAGCATCAACCGATTTCTAGAGGCGGAGTAACGCTTAATTAACTATTGCGAATTTTGCAGAATGGCACGTAACTTTTCTATTCAGTTGAATTTATTCTAACTGCACACAGTCGTTTCGTCAAAACTTTTCGGGCACCCTGTATGCACGTATATATCCACAGCGCACCGGAAAAGCGTCAGGGTGTGTATTCTTCAACGGCTTTTTCAGAAATCGAACGTTTGCTCCGGGAGCTTTTACGTCTCGTACGCGAAATAACTCCTGTTCATTGAATATCAAATTAATTCCCTATTAAAGGGGAGAGAGAGAGTGTACCTCGAATTAATTAGAAAGTTAAAGTTTTGTTACTCCGTTACGCCCGTTGCGCGGCTTAATTCGCCATAACCCTTTAATTAAGTAGCTCCTTAATTAAGCCATCGATTAAATTTTCATTAGGGAAGAGTCGACACCGAGACCCGTTAAAGAATACATTTCTACTATTCCTCGCGTTTCTCCGGCGCGACCCCGGCGTAGAATCGGCTTGCAGCAAGTCTACGATATAGCACAGGCCAGTTTGTCGTTAGGTCGTTAGAGAGCCGTTTCGTTCTTACTTTTTTCTCTGTCTCCTTTCATTTCTCTCTTTTTTTCCCCCTTGTCTTTTCTCTCTATTCGTTCCGCGTAATCTAAATTCAAGAGGGCGCCGCTCCGTGATCCCGCGATTCTTTAAACTATCGTCGGCGCGTCTCGACGAGGGGCGATAATCGATTCTACGTCGTGTGTTCCGCACGTGTTATTCGTGCTTCCTCCGGTATATAACTTACTTCGGCGCTATATCGGAGCCTTGCTGCATGAGCGAGCCTATGGTGAACCAGAGCGAGTTCAGCAGGGTGAACTCGTTCTCGAGGACCTCGGACTGCCCGTTGCACGGATGGGGGTTCTCCCACTCGTAGGGGCTGAACCTGCGGACACGTGAAAGAGGGGGAAGAGCCGAGATTAGATTTCAGTGCGTGGTACTACGCGCGGATAGCCTGACAGAATCCCACCCTGAAGACGCGCGAAGATGCATCGAGCGATTCCCATTCGGCTGGTTATCCGCCGATGAGAAAATCGATACGCAGAATGTTTCGTGTTCATTGGTAGCCGTGACTGAACGAAAGAATTACACTGCAAGTGTGCGATTTTTACACGCAGAAACGTCTGAATTAGACTGAAGCTCCTTTTATGTTTTTCTTGCCGTTTTAGCTTACATCATTTAAAACGTTTCGTTATGTTAAATTAACGTCACGTTAAATGACGTGATTTATTTAAAACGGCAAGAGATGCGTAAGAAAAACCTCTGCTAAAATAGCGCGTTTGGATTTGCAAATTTACTCGCTCGAATTATCCTTTCGTTGTTTCCTCTGTTGCATCGCTCGACTGTGTATAAAGTTCAATATTAGTTGGTTAGAATAAAAGAATCATTTATCGAGTTACGTCTTTCCTTGATTTTAATTGTAGGGATCTCTATCAGGCTCTGTGCTTCTTATCGGCCGATTACTATCGCCATCCATGCAATGAAAACAGCAACGACGCTTTGACTTCGCCAAGGGATAATTTTGTGCAAGGGATAATGGTTTTTTTTTTTTCCTATTTAAATTCAATATGCGACGAGCACCACATATATTGCGATTATCTCGATGCATGAGAGAGCTTACTTGGGCAGAATGTCACAACCCTGCCGCATTAGGGAGCCAATGGTGAACCACAAGCAGTTAAGGAGCTTGAAGCGATTCTCCAGCCGGTCCGGATTTTTGTTGCACGGATGCGGGTTGTACCATTCGTACGGTGTGAATCTAAACTCAACGGTTTCAGATGCACTTTGACCCAACGGTTATCTCAAAGATATCTCGTCTCGTTTTATTAAAAGAAAGTAAAGATTTCCTTGAAAACTTTGTGCTATCGGTTCTGCGCGCTTCACTTAACACGGAGATCATTCGTTGTATGTTGTAATTGCTTGAAAGGAAAGTTTATGCTCTCAAAAGTAATTTTCACAGGGAGCATTCGATATAAAAAATACAAGATGACAGAAAGATTAATGTTCTTCTGGTCGCGAAAGAAATCGCGGTGGAGAAGTTCTCGCGAGTTTCCAATTGGATCTACTCGGGGCAGAAGTTAGGGCTACGATATCGGCACTATAAACGTTAAACGAAAGTGTGAAATAAATAAATGCAAAATACTCGCGGGAATAGGAATTGGGTTCCTATTTAATTAATTGAATTCGTCGGTGCGTCGATTGAACGGGCGATCGAATTTCCAGGATAACGTCACGGCGGCATTTTTGTCGGGAGAATTTAAAGTGGTTTTACTTGCCTGGCTAGTATAAAGAGAAGCACGGAGACCCCGAGATAAGCCGTCGCCATGTAGATCCATACGTCGAGGCTGAGAGGGCTGAGGAACGAGAACAAATTCGGTGGTTGCTTTATGGGCTTGCGGTAAAGTATGCTGATCCCTGGAAATTCAAAATTCTCGCTTTATGCTGAGCCACGGAGAGCGGGCTACGCAGAATGCATTGATGTGTGGACACAGAGGGGCCGGTATAATTATTCGCGAGATTTATTCCGGTCTTCGTTACGGCCACCTATGGCTTTACGGACGTACATAATAGCCCCGCTAAATCGCGTGCGCCAGAAATTGTTTCAGAGACACGCGCGCCGACGAAGACTCTATGCGGATACTCGGGATTTAATTTATCATTGTTTTAACGATGGCCATAATATGCCCATTTACAGCGACACTGATTCCTCGCAACGATTATCGTCGGCGATCACTCGCTATTTTCACTACGAAACGAAAGATAACGTAATTCTTTTACGCTTTTATGATAATATATTCGCGTGTGCTCTTCCGCCTTTTCGTGCCTAATGCCAAGATTAAAAGACTTATCGCGTGTGCGGCTATGAAAAGGAAAAACAAAATTAAGGTATTACACCGCGCCGTTTCGAGCTATCCGCGTTGGATCTCTTTTTTACAGCCCTCTTCGTAACGTGTTTATGGAAATCGCGCGAGCTTACCTAAAGGCATGAACGGCATCGTGAAGTCGACAACCTGTTCCCGGTCGTATGTGATGGTGAGATCGGCGATCGCGAGATCGGCCTTCTGATCGAGCAGCTCCTTCATCATCCCGTCCCATTCCTTCGTCTGCTTGTTGAACGAGCCGTAACGTCCGTCCGGCACAAGCCGGAACGTATAATTGAATCCAAGCAGCCGCGATATCTCGTAAATCAAGTCGACGCTGTAGCCTTCGAATTGCGCGTTTCCGGTGAGCTTCTCGCTCGAGTCCTTCCGCATACAGTACGGCGCGCTCTGCCGAGGAGGTAATGATCCACCGTCAATAGCCGCATATACGTCCGCGCGTGTCTATCGGCCCGGCTCATCGTCGATAGCTCACGATAGCATCGACTCGCGAGTCAGCCAAGTGAAGTTACGATATCTGCGGAAGTAATCTTGACGGCTCTCATATGAGCATCAAGATCGGACGTCTTAGTATATTGAACGGGAGGACTGCGCTCTTCAATACTGCCTTTTTGTAGCGCTCACCCTTATAAGGACCGAACGTATCGGATGGTACTACCACAATATCATGGTTTTTTTCCTGAAATTCGACGCCTGCCCTAAAGCGGAATCTCGCGAGAAATCCTTCAGTCCGGAAGAATAACCGAGAGCTAGTGTTTCTTAGCATATTATTGAACTTGTTCATAAAAACAGATGCGATTGTCAGAATTCGGGATTCAGCTTGTAAGTTTCACCAGGCACCGTGTGATACGTTCTTATTCGACGATAGAAGTTCATTTTATTCGACCGCACGACTGATCGAAGGTACGTTAAGGCGTCGAAGTTTTTACGAGAAGGACGCTTCTTATCGCGCGGGGCTTCGCCGCGGGGAACTTGTCGGTCGTCCCTTTCTCGGCCGAGTTTCAAGGCAGTTAATACATTAGCGAGTACATTACTTGTCACCGCAATTAGCGCGGGAATAAGTAATGCGAGTCGAGCGCGCTGTGAAAACTTCAATTAAGTCGCGAGTATCCGGCGCGTTTCCAGCCTTCTCGTCTTCTTTCCTCTCTGGGAAAAAGGGAGCGGAAAGCTAACGAGCGCGCAGGCTTTGCTAATGGGCGGAAAGAAATTTTCCGCCCCGCTGTGACGGCCGCCTAATGCGGCGTTGTCCCTGTTTTGTTCGCGCTTCGAATAAAGCGACGATTTTCAAGGCTCACCACGGCTGTCAGGTGCGATTTTTGCTAACGTCGGCCGTCTTCGATGACGCGAAAAACGGTTTATCCGTGCTTTGAAGTACGGTGAGGCGCCGAACAAAACTTGATAAATCGGTACGTCAAGTGGCGTGATCCTTTCTCACGTGAATAATTTCTTGAAACACTTCGCGTGCATCATGTGAAATTATTTTAATGTATTTCAGCACTATCTTTTAAACAGTTGTAAGACGAGGAAGAACTTGAGCGTTTGCTGGAGCGCATTCTTGGATTAAATTAATCTATTAAATAATGCCGATGCATTGTTCTAATTTCTTAAAACAAAGAGAAAACTAAAGAATTGATGTGTGTAAAAAACGTATGAAAGAAACTGTCAAATATCGTATGTCGCACGAATTATTAATTACTTCGCACGAATCGAAAAGTGCACGATCTTTTACGACATTTTGAAAATTACAGATTTAATCTCTCATGCTTGAAGATGAAAGCATGATCCGATGTGTTCCGATTATTCCTATGTTTGCGCGGAAGGACGGAGTTTCTTCGTAAATTTCCTTGTAAATCGAACGTCGTTTAGAGAGAAAAACGCGCGTTTTGAGAATGTCACTCACCAGTATGGTCGTCACGATGAAAGTTTTATTCTGCAAGTTTTCAACTATCTGAGTGTAAACGTCGCCGTAGCTCCTTGTAAAGTTGATACCCTTGGTACTATTCCAGGTGCCTATTTTCTTCAAGCCTTCTTTGCTATTCAGCTCGATGATGTCTAGCATAAAGTCGGAACGAAAACCTTGGTGGTCGAACTTGATGATACCCGTGAGTCCTGTCATCTCCACCTGAAACGAGAAAATATTTAAAAAATACTAAGTATAAAGTTAAAAAGTACCAAGTATCGATGCTATAATTTATAAATATTAATACTTAATATATATATATAATTAATAATATATATATAATAATAATATATAATTTATAAATATTAATACTTAATAATATATTAAATTATCGATATATATTAAAGTACCGATAAGAAATGTATATCTAAATCTTTTCGTTATTGTGTAACTGTTAGTTACAGACATAAAAAAGTTTCCTCGATTATAAATATTATTTAGCGTTTGGCTCTTTTTTGTTTTTCATTTCTATTATACATATATATATGTGGAAATAATGAATTCTTGATATTACGTTATATTACGCTTTAGACATATAATATTAAAATTTTTTGTTTTCCGAATTATATTATTTATACGTATTATATACATAAATACTGAAATATCCAGTTCGCTGCCTAACGCTCGAATAATCGATTATTGTAATAACCGTTGTTATTAATAATAACTATTAAGTTTTATATGCGGTATGGTAGCGCGAGTACGTTGTTTTGTTTAGTGTTCGATTTTGCGATACACTTGATTATCGAAGCAAAATTTACAAATAAATCCCGCAATGTAAATTTTTCTTGTTTAGCGTATGCGATACGTTGCATCTTATCTTGCAGTGCTTTCACATATACGCTTTGGCGATTTCTCGAACGAGGGAACTTTAAAAATCACCGATGTAGACTCGAGCACGCCGCGAGGAGAGATTCACGATGAATTTATTACGTATACGCCAAGGGTTTGCTTAAATGTTCGCCGCCTGTAAAACCGGTAAAGCGTTACAGTTCACAGCTATATCAGAGAACGCGGAAGGCGCATTTAGACGCGACAGAACGTTTTGAGACAGAAATTTCGCAATATTCGTAAAATGATTCGCGAGCAATTACGCCCGGCATGATAACCGATTTCCGTCTCTCTCCCTCGCGCTGTACATTCGCAAAACGACGCTGTGTAATTGCGGATGAAATTCCCGGTGACTGCTTGTAATTACCGGTTCATGAATATCGCGAAATTAAACTCGCTGCTGACACGCGAAATTAATACAGGCGCTATCGTTACCGACGACTCGTGGCGTTCCCCGGGAAAGAACGTCTCGGTTGAAGATTATCGCGCTATTCGAGAGACACGTTAATGCACCGCACCAATGGATCATACGGGGGAGGGAAAAAGCTGTCAGCGCCACACGTTGGGCGAGAGCTTCTCCACGTTTGAGAAATTAGCGGGAGAATTGAAGAATCGCGCGGTCATAACGAATTTCAGGCACGTCTCGCTAGTCGTCGTCGCAGATAATTACTCTATATTTCTAGCGAATTCAGCGAGTTAACGGGGAAAAGTCTCGGTTGCAGCGGCTTGTTTTATCAAGCGAAAATGATATTGTCGCCAGTGCGAAATTATTCGGCGCAAATCGCAGAAAACTAGTCGCACGTATTTCCCTACGGTATTCTCGCCTCTCTCGTAATCCGCGAAAGGCCATACGTCCACACGCATTAAAGACCTCTGCCGTTCGGAGATTCGGCGGGGGGGGGGGATACATCGTAACAAATAAGGTCTTACCCTCGAGGAAGGACGACACTAAGCCGAGAGCTTTACCGATGACTCGAAAACGAGATTTTCACGATTTTCAGAGGAGGATGTTCCGTGAAGATCGGAGAGATACCGCGCGACGCTTGCAATTCGGAACAGTCGCGCGCGTCACACGGAGCCGCGTAACGAGATCCTCGAAATTACACGCGCGTGTCTGCTTCCATCGGCGCTTTTTGCCGATCCTCGTCGGCCACGGTGAACGACAGGTTCCGCTCGTTCGTGACGTATAACGCAGTCAGGCACATGTATGAGAGCTGCCTCTGCGCGGAACGTATCTTCCGGTGCTTGTCAATCCCGACACGGCGACGCGCGGATGACGAGACACGTTTCCATATCCTGCGTGTAACGCATATTTATATGCGCTCGCGTATCGCGCCGACGTGTTACCTTCACGCGTTATCCTTCGATCTCTGGGGGTTGAACATATACTGATGGGGAACCATTCAACAATTATGTCACGCGAAATTTTGATATTTTTTACTCCCTCTCCCCTCAAAACCAAAATTATCCTTTTTATCGCTCGTGCAAAGTTGTCTAAACACGGACGCGTTCAATTGGGGAACAGAATCTGCGTCGGAATTATAAGGTACGAAGACACTCGTTTTAACCGAAAACTTGTTTCGCTATCGCCTGCGGAATCGACGATTCGTACACGGAGATACGTCGGGTACACGCTGCGGTCTAGGTGCGCATCTTTGCATCAGGATGCAGCGGAGTAAAACCACGAGCGACAATTTGTCAACGTGCGCGACAGCTTCGTTTAAACTGGGGTAACTTTCTATTGTTCCGCGAGAACAATCGCGCGAATCGCGGAGAGTCAATGCGTCTGGGCTTCGCATGATTTCCTGCACCGTACGCCACCCTACCATCGTCTATTTATCAATTTCTTTTTGCTTTATCTCCCCGTACATTTGCGCGCGTGTTGCGTTCATCTTGTTTTTCCTGTTAGAAAATCGCCTCAAGAATACAGAAACCGCAATAGGATCGTTTTGACTGTTTAATCAGCGGACAAATCGCATGGAAACAATATTCGTTTGTTGCATCAGTAACAATGGTAAACTTAGTGCACAAGAGAATAAATTTAAAGATGAAAGTATTAATTTTTATATCGTCTTAATTTTTACATTTACTTTTCTGCCATGTAACAATTGCAAATATCCGCAATGTTTAAATTTTGTCTTCATGTATAATAATACTTTCATAATTACATATTATATCCGTTAATAACAGAACATTGACGCTTAAAAATATTATCAAGTCTAAGCTAAGCTTCTTTATTTTCCGCTTGAATGTCCACTTCGATTGGAAGACGACCGATATCAATGATCGGGGGGGAATCCACTGTCGCCAATTAATCCTGACGTCGCATAATAATAACTTCACGCGTATATGCAGCGCGGGAGTCTCAGTTTTATAACGGTTTTTGTTTCAAGTCGCTACGATACCTAGAAGCGAAGTTATCGAGGAAAATATCGAGCCGCGCGTTTTTACACTACCCTAACGCGTGGACCTACCCTAACGCGTGGACCTACCCTAACTCGAATTCCTCGCCGTAACCCATTGAGCCAGCGAGGCCTTATCTCCCCACTACCGCGCGTACCCCCACCCCTCAAGGCTGCTCGGAGCACGTGCGCGGTCATTCACTCGTGCCGTAGGAAGTAAACAAACATGTCGAACACGCTCTCGCTCGTCAATTGATCGTCGATCTCGCTCACTCACGTGTAGCGGCCTGCGCGTCTGGCACGCCGAAACTTTAAAAAGCTGTAACTCGCGAACGAATTGACGTAGACGCATAAAACAAAAGACAGTTTTCTTGTCTGACGATTCCGCGCGCGTTTATGCTGCTCTTTTACCACCGAAGATAACCAGACGTTGCGACAGAATTCGGCAGAGGTATTGCTTAAATGCATCGTCTCATCCGCGACATTCTTTCCTTCGTGCGTTCCTTCATAACGGTAACGAGATCGATGTTTAATGAATATTTTTCACCGTGTTGATGTTAACAAACATGATGATATATTGATTCAACCCGTCAAACGCTAATGAAATCTTTACATAATTCATAAACATGGTAAATATAAATGTGATAAATATGCTAAACTATGTTTAATTAGTAATCATCATGGCTTGTGATCAATATTTAATGTTGAATATCCGGGAAATTTTGGGGTCATCGTTAGATCCAATCACGTTTCGTGAATAAAAATACGCAAAAAGAGAAAATATGTCTATAATTTTAAACAAATAACAAATATAGTTATTATTCGTGCGCATAGCAAGACTCGTGATATTTGTTATTGAGGGATGCGCGGTTTAGGCGGGAGAGCAAGCGAGTGAGAGAGGATTAAGCATATCGTTATAATGGTTTATTACGTTGTCGGAACGATCGATCAGCGCCCCATAATTCTGCGGAATTAATTTCTGCCTAACATATTCGCGATATCCGGCCTCTGCGTTGTATCGCGTTCGTCGAGAATGCGGTAATCACCAGCGGAAGATGCCTGCCAATAATACGCAAACATCATCTCTAATATTACTCCGCGAAACGGCGCGTGTTTCACACGAGCGGGGCTGAGTCGAGATACTTTTCGACGGCTTCGCGAAGCCGTGTCCGTTCATTACGTGATCCCAAATTCGCCGATCCGATGTTATTAGCTATCTCCGAATCCATCTGTTAACTAGGCACGATAAGCTGCAAGGCTGTCCGTATCGCTTACATTACTGCTGCATTTAGTGCTACATGTGGTAGGTCGATTTTGCGCATGATTTATCTCGTACGGGAATCACATGTAATGAGAGCACGGAATGAGAATTAGATCGTGCGTATTAGCTCGGCTAATGCGCTGAAAATATAGAGTTTCTGTAGAAGTGCAGATTTTTCGACGAACATGAGAGAATCGTCGCGTATAACCGTGAAAAGAGGGATTTTTTCCAAAAATCTTTTAGTTCATATCGTCTCATAAATTCTCTTTCTCATAAACTTTCAGTATTGTGTCGCAAGTTATCCGGCACGATATTAAACAATTTATAAAATCACGTCAGATTATTTGATTTTCGTAAACTCGTTCGAACTTGCGCCTCTGCTATTGTTCATCACGAATGAGTACGTTGACTTTGACAAGTCTATAGTTATTTCTATATAGCGTTTTTCCGTCTTATCTCGCGACTCTTGCTCCGAGTTCCCCTATTATTTTACTTATAATAATAACGAAACTGTAAGATTCGAAGGTGGGCGTACATCTCACATTCCAACATACATACATATAATATCCTCTCACTTGAAACTATCCCGCTGATTGTTCTAATCAATGGTACTTACGATCTTCATGTAGTTAATGAGCGAATATCCATGAGGCCAAGTGTCAGTTGACTCGCAGGATAACGGCTTGATATCAATTTGCTGGGACGTGTCCAGATCGTGCAGCGCCTTGGCGAAGAGATAGACCGCGTCGTACAATAGGGATGTTTCAGTCTGCGAATCGTATATAGACGACCGAAGCGTTATCGACGCATGAAACATATCCCTGTGCAAAATATTTCGCGTAAAGTAATTCGACGGAATATTTTAAGCAACGTAGGAAAAAGTGGGCCGTAGCGAAAGAGCGTTCATCCAGAAAGAAACTGTTTTGTGCAATGTGATCCGAGCCATTTTATCCGTAACACGTTTTTCCGTTATCGATATTTCCTGAGGCACGCTCTACCACGTCACTTTATATAAAACGTTCTGCACGTAACGTGTGTGTGTGTGTGTGTACCGGATATCCTACAGAAGATGATAATAAGATGGTATCTCGTATTGAATTTCGATACGGTTTCTCGTCAGCAATAATTGGATGACATTCCTCTTCGGAGCTCTTAAAGTTTTAATGTGAATTTAGCGCACCGCATTGAAATTCATTGGACCCTAAGTCGAGTTTATCCCGTGCATCTGGGCCTTTCGAATAAAACCAATCTGTGGTGCGAAGCGTAATTTTTTTCTTAATTTGACGAGCTTCTTGTAATTTACAATTTTCCGCACTCGTTATAATGAATTCAATAATTGAAGAGAAAAAAAGCGTTTGGAACGTGAAGCGTTCTAACGATCAATTTATCACGAAATAAGAGTTTCAGCACATTCTGTACGTAAAGAGAATTGCACGTGATGTCACCAGGATGCTCGAAGGAAAATCTTCGATGTAGTCGAAGTATTTCGGGCGGAATCGAAGCTCGCGGGTATCGAAATTATCAACGCGACAAAGAGCGCGAAGGTGAAATCCGAGTCTGCCATTTCGCGAGAGGAATCATATTCGGCGGCGCCGGCTCGAATTCCCGCCGATGTTCAAGAAGCGAAAGAACGAAATCTCGGCTCCTGGGAGGATTTCACGGCAAATTGGCGCCTCTGTTTCGCGACATTTATATTTCGTAACTCTCTCGCGCGGTATCCTCTCTATCTATCCATCTCTTTCTCTCTCACCCTTACTTCCCCTTCACCTCTACAGCGATATTGTCGCTGTAAAAGCGGCATCACCTTATATATCGCGTGGGTGTGTATATTCCGCCCGATATATATTCGGGGGGACAACCAATATCCTTACCGGATTTTACGAGGCCTCGTCCGTGGGAATGTATTTACGGAGGAACGAGTCAATGTATCCGATTCACGTGTTTCCCGATACGAAGGGACGCGGTAATATCCTTATGTAGAGACCGACCGAAAGTTTCGGACAAATAGAAGTTTCGTGTTCCTCCCCTAACTTTATTCATTACCCGCGCATCACGACGAGAAGTAATAAGAGGGAAAGCGATCGAGTAGTTACGTGAAAAAATTGCACGAGAGGTCTTGGGAGGGTGTCGCGCGAGACGTCTCGAATATGTGTCACCGTTATCGATAGACGTCTTTTATATTACCAGCCTGCTTTCGTGTTCAACGACAATACGGAAACCAAAGTTCGCAGTTTCACGTTTGATCGTTTGTCGGCGAATTTTATGGCTCTTTAGTTTTATATCGAATGTCCCGCCCAGCGTTCATAGAACGTACGCTTCACTGAGTTCCCTACGACTCGATTCTCTTTTCGTCATCGAGTTTTGACTAACGATCGTAAAATAAAAGTACCAATGCCCGGGACACGTACGTAAACCTGAACATGTCTTATTCTTCTTTAACCATTTAAGGCCCAATGTATTAGGTTGGTGTAACGTCGAAATTTTTTCATGCATATTGCGCTGAAGATATACTATGAATTAATACGCTTGGCGAAAGTACAAGTCAGTCCATGTTCGTATTGTATATTAAGATTATCAATTTTTTCTGAAATATCGTACGTGCATGAGGTATTAATCTTTGAATCGCAATATGAGTACCAGTGAAATGTGCAATTATTACCCGATATAAATTTAAATTTGGAAACAGTCAAGCTGCACAACGTTAACCGAGTTTATGGTGACAATACAGCTGACGAACGAACCATTCGACGTCGATTTAAAAAATTTCGTTCCGGAGATGAATCGCTTCAAAATGAACCTCGCGGTAGACCCGAAACAATTGTTGACAACGATGTTCTGAAAGCTCCGATTGAAGAAGATGAGAGGAAAAAGCATAATAGCGGATTGCCAATATATTCCAATATATTACTTTGACCGAAAAATGCGATTTTGTCTATCGTTCTCAACATTTGTTTTTTGCAATTGCCACGTAAAAGAATTCAAAGTAGACCCGGGAATCGTCGAAACTATCGTCATTCTTCTCAGCTTATCGTTTGACATCCGTGGATCGCGCGCTACTTGTAGCGCGATATATTACACGGGCGATGTAGCAATAATCGTGCAGTTTCGTGCAAGTGCAGCGATAGTCACGGTGGTGTGTCGGTTGACATTCCTGATTGAGCGCTCGCGCGTTTCGCCAATAACTCACTCGTAATGAAACAGTGAGACGTGAACCGGTTCCGCGGCCCATTGACTTCGCCAATAATGAATTACAAGGGTAAAAACGGAACCGCGCTTTACTTGCGCTTTGCCGACCGATCTGCTCACGTAACAGATTAGTTCCTGTCGCAGCGAAATTTGCACGAGCGTTCATCGTGCGTTTCCCCGCCGCGAGTCCCGCAGAAATTGGGGAATATATGGACGTGTTATATCATATTCTGGCGACCCGGCGGATAATATTCGTCCGCTTACGACGGTCGCGCATTTCACTTACCTTTATGGTGGTGAGGTTGTTCTGTTCCATGTGTGCGTGAGAGAGACACAATCGTCAATATATTTGTTAATACTATTATATATAATAAACAACAATACATTTACAAATTCACACTGAAGAAAAAAAGTACTACATTCATGTAATTATTACTCCGATAGTTCTGAGCAAATTTTTAATTCGATCAAGTAAATATTACTTGAATTTAATATATTTCACATTCAAGTAATATTTACTTAATCCAAGTAAAAATTTGTTCACAACTGTTGGAATAATTATTTACTTGAATGTAACATTCTTTTCGGTGGTGACACTGAAAATTACACGAGTCATTTAATCTCCAAAGTTTACCTAAATATATATATGTATATATAACGCTCGATATAATATAGAAAATTAAATCCAACAGAGGGATGGTCTCTTAATCACCTATAGAAAGTTGAAAACCCGAGTATACTTGATGGCGAGCGGGAAAGTTGCGCCATGTAATCGCGCTATTTTAAGTCTTACGCAAGTTTACTAATGAATGCTGTCGTAAAATAACATGGAATTTTCGCTCAAGCCTCTCGAATAACAAACTTATGCTCGTTGGCAATTCTAACGATTTCGCTCGCTGTGTATCGCCTATCAATAATCGAATCAATATATTGTCCGACTGCTCGTCGTCGTATGTGTACGCGATTGAGTTAATTAGTCTGGCTTTGACGCGCTCGTAATGGGATTGCCAACATCCCCCCGGGTGGCAGACATACCCGTTACGGAATTTGGACAAACGTTGATTGTTCGTTATACGGCGACATTGCGTAACGCAATTTAACGTCGTCGTTAAATTTCGAGCGATGGCGTCGCGACGCACCGCGGCAGTGGCGGCGGATCGACATCGTATTGAGTCTCGATGACTGGCCCGCTAATATATCGGTCCAGTGTGATGTTTCATGTTTAGAGATCGTACGATGAGCTAATTAAGAGACGAGAGAAATTACCATTCTCTCGAAAGGAACCGTCCAACGTTGCTTGTAGGAAATATAAAGTGTCTCGTTTTAATGGAAACTTATAAAAGTATTAAGGTGATTTTGTCGAAAAGCGAATACTTCATAAGATATTGATGAGATAGCCAATGCATTTTTATATCGATATATTCCCGTTGTTCGTAGAGAGAAAAAACCTTCGTCAAGGTGACCTCGATCATGGTTCGACAACGACAAGATACTAAGGTATAATTGAATAGAAAAAACAGTCGGGGAGATATAACGAAATTGCGATGGGCTCTTTTAAGGCATTGAGCACACGAGATTTTCTTGGCCTTGTGATTTTACCATGGAACCTCAACTGTTCCGTAGACTCCGACTACCATTGTGCCGCTTAGATAATCTACCTCTGGCGGTAACCAGCCAGCCTCGTGCCGGCTCGAGGGGTGGAAACGCCTGGAATTTGCCCCCTCACTGATAAATTTCCCATGAATACGACGCCTATCTGGAGGTACGGCTTTCCATCGATTGCACGGTCTTAAAGGGATTCGTTCTATAAGGGCGCTCCTCCTGACGGAAAACGATCTCGTTCCCGAGGGAACGGAATCGCCTTATTCCTTGTAACTCGCGCTACACGCTTGGGTTACTGAATATGACCCGCTCGTCCCGTGACATTCCGTCAAGCTGGTCAAGCTTGTGCTACCTGCGCGCAAATCGATAATAAACTTTCTTATCGAGGACACGGGACAACTGCATGTCCCTTCTCTTTTCTTTTTCATGTCGGGTGGCTAAGTGCGAAAGATTGAAATTTTGTCGGTTGAATTTTGTCAGATTTTGTTTTCTCTCTCACTGACAGACGTCAAACGCGGTCGAGGCGCGATTTAGCAAGTTTCTGAATTGCGATTCAAGAAGTTCGATTGTCTGATCCCGCACTTCGCTCGTCTGTGCCGCGGCCCTTATACTTTTAATTTTAGCAGTAAGGCGGTGAGTCTAATAGTCAGCGCTTCGTAAAGCCGAGACACTGGTGCCTGATGAAACTGGCGAATTGAGAAAGTTTTTATTACCAGCGTCTCGCGCGCGTGTCGCGAATCGATTGCGCGACGCGGCGCCATTCGTTTTGCGACTTTCAATTGACAATTTTATAAGTTTTATTTTACATGGTTTTACACGCGCGCGCACATGCACACACATACAGAGAGAGGAAAGTCGGTCGGTGTTTCTTTGTACCGGTGTTCTCATTGTTCTCCTTTCGTCGAAGCGGGTAAATAAAGACGCTCTATTTGTCGGCGTGATGATGTATCTTCCATGAAACGTCGCTTGTCTCGGTGCCAGCGAAAAAAGGGAAAAAACCACCGCGAGTTCTGTCCACGCAGTGGAAAATGAAGTACTCGCAAATACGCCGTCCTATGTGTAATTGTTTTGCTTGTGAATCATTTACGATTAAACAAGCGGGAGGGCAGGTGTTGTACGACCGGATGACAGGTGTCGATTAATCTTTTTAAGCTGTTGCGAGCTCTTGTTCCTTGAAATAATTAATCTCAAAATATACAGATCATCTCGCTCCTTATTATCGTATTCTATGTATCGTATATCGTATATATCTCATAGTGACGGATTGTCCGCGCAAGTTGGTGATTTTAACTTCGTTGTGTAGTCAATAATTAAAAATCATCTTGAGGTCAACTTCATTTTTTTAGTGGAATCATATAGTTATTTTTTTTTCCTTTTTTTCAACACAAATCGATCTCTCTGTTCTGCGTATGAAAGTACTATACTGAGAGAAAAATGTAGTTATTTTCGAGGACAACAGTATCCTTTTCTCATTTCAACCATTTACTGGAAAAGTAATCGAACTATTTTTCTAATAAATATTATTATAGTGTCAGTGATAATAACCTTACGTCCATGTTGCTATTACTATTTTTGTAGTTAAAATAAGAAAAGGATATTGTTATCCTCGAAAATAAATATATTTTTCTTTTAGTGTAGAGCAAGATCATCGGAAAGCAAATATTTTATTTTTTATTCTGATTTATTTTTCAGTATACAATATATGAAATATCAAGTATTCACTTTTCTACAGCAAACTTGGGCAGAGTCGATTTTTCCTCGCACAGTACAATACGTTGGGAAGTTACGCCGAAAGAATTAACGTCTTCGCAGAAGTTACACTATCTCGTCCGGCATTCCGTTGGCATTTAATTTCCCATCTCGCTGCACTTTCTTCGCACATATTGCAATCACGCTGAGATATATCTTGATTCATCTTCGCAAACTGACTTTCGTCTACGCGATGACTTCGGCGCTGCTGCCTCGCGAAAAGACGAATTCGAGATGACTGAAGAAGATCGGCGCAGTGAAAAATAATTCGTATTTACGATCGCTCTCTCCGTATATACGAGAGCATCAATTTTAGCGCGCGACGAGAAGCCCGCCTCGATTTTCACGTGGAAAAAAGGCGACGACGTAAGAAAACAACGGCGCGTTGCAACTTGCCATCGCAGCGAATCCGTCACATTCTCTCGCACGGTGTGCTGCAGCTACGTACCGCAGGACATCGGCAAAAAGTTGTTGGGAAGTTTGCGCGAACGTGCAGCCGTGTGTCGGGGCAAATTGGCCTTTTTAAGGGCCGGACGCTGGACGCTGGCAGATGTTGCTTCCGTCGAAATAACCGAACGTACGGATTCGCTTCTCAACTTTTCCGCAGTTGATGCCGCGCCAGATGCGACGCGCGATGTAATTCGCTTTCGCGATGCCGCCTTCGGTACTTGCCGCTTTTACGCGCCGCGGCGCGGTAGAACGTTGCAAACCTCGGGGCATCCGGCCCTTTACCCGAATCATGCTTTTGTCTTGCGTAACTCGAAGTTTACGAGACCGTTACGCACATACGCACACCTATCCATACGTTCACACGGACACGCAGGTTATACTTCCTTTTGCACTTATGAGATTGTAAAGTTGTGACACGAGAATTATTTTGTCGGGCGAGAATTTGTTTATTGGAATTTTTCGGCTTGAGGTATAAACAATATAAATGAAAGAAACAAACGTAATATAAATAACATACTGTGTATGTGCGCGCGCGATGCTATTCTCTTTATAATTTAGACACGCACGTTCATTAACACAAAGGCGCTTTCTTTCGGAAGTTAACGGGCGGCACGTTTTGTATGTGCGTATTAAGCACGTTCCGCGCGTCGTTGTTTTTCGCCAGTTACTTGGAAAAACATCATGTGAAACAGATTACGCGAGTATAATAGATAGGTTTATCGCGTTGAAATTGCAAAAACAATGATAGTTTTTACGGATGAACGAAAGCCCGGAGAATTAAAAGCTGCTATTCCTATGACAACGTCGTGATTAGTCACCCCCTAACGATTACGCGCCGTTAATTGAAGAAACACTGGTGAATCGACATAACATGGTAAATCCGGATTTGTCTTGTAGTCAATTTGTCTCCGACACGTGCCATTATTCTCCATTTAGGGGCCATCCAACAATTACGTCACACAAAAAAAGTATTTTTTATCCCTCGCTTTCGTCATAAAGTATTTGCTTCCTTCCAATATTACGTGACATGTGGAATTACCTCTCGCTATATATAATATATAAAAAAGCCATTAAGCCGTAAAAAAAAGCTATAACCATATTGTGAATAATAATTATTGGACTGCATGCTACTATCTTCTTCTTAAATTCAAACAATATTTTTAGGCATATGAAATTAATTCATTACATTATGTGTCGCGTGTAATTTTAACGCGTATATTTCCCCGCAAAAATCACGTGGGTTAATAAATCTTGTCACTATGACGGCGTAATGTTGAATCTCTCGACATCGTCCGCCACGTCGATGTATCGATACGTCGTCTAATAAAACGTCGACGCCTAATGGAAGTATCTGCGAACTCGTATTTTCACGTGTACGTACGGACACGCATATATCGATTAATTTACCGTCATTTCATTACGCTGCCACGTACGGAATATGTGCGATGGAAGTAGGTAATTGCATACGTAATTTCCCGCTGCGAATCGCGCGAGGTTCTTGCCTCTTGCGCGGATCGTATTATACTCGAGGCCGACTTATGGAAGTAAGGGAAGTAAGGACGAACCACGATTAACGCTGGAAATCGTATTTGCCACGTTTTACGCGACTTCTTCAAATCTCCGGCCCATTAAAACGGAAATTTGCGCTTGCCCGAGCCGCACGGTCGCGAATGGGTGTTGAAACGTGAAATTAGAGGCGACACGCTTTTCATTTCGATATGTAAATTGCCGTTGCATCGCGCGTGCGCGCGCTCAATAATATCACGATTGCAAGCTGCACAACATAATGTCGCGGATGCGTACGATATTAATGATAATATCGCACACGTGGTGGGTTTATCGATTTTATCGACATTATTATTTTAAATGAACTCCTGATTTATATTTCTGTCCTAATTACGATATCTCGTAATGTTCACTATTGAATATCTCAACGAGCTGTCTCCGGATTAAAGTTCAGTGCGCTTAAAATTAATCGCAACGCGAAACTTCCTCGTTTACTCAATCCATGAACCGGAGGATATCCTCTTTTTAGATTGGACTTATTTTTCCACTTTTCGTCCATATTTTTGATACTGATAAAATACAAATATTATTAAAAAGTTATTCTAATGTTTTATTTTCTCTCTCGAAAAGATCAGACCGCAAAAATCAATATTACGTTACATGGAGGTGTATATTCTGTGCGTAATTCCCATTTTAGCGTCGTCTACATGAGATCCACTGGATAGTCTACGAACAAAAAATATTATTATAATTTACAAAAATCGATAAACAATTATAAAAAAGCCGCATCTGAATTGCTTCGATAGTTTTCCCTAGAAGAATTCCGGCGTTTTTCCGACTCAACAATACTCTCTTAATTCGCAAGTTCCGACGTGTCCTCGACCACTGATAATCCGAAGCTAATAGTCGGTCCGGAAGAAACAGACGCTGTTGTTCGTGCTTCGTACATTAAACACTCGATATTCCGACAACGTATGCAACTTTGTGTGTGTGTTCACGCGAATGCAAGCCGTTGCGGATAGTTCGGCGGGCGAAACAGAGAACGAGACTCGACAGTCACAGTCGCTCGCAGCTTCTGCGGTATTTGCATTCTTATGAGAATCGGCACGCGTCACGGGCAATTCAATTTCCCGCAGCGGTAGTCAAGTTTCGAACAGGGTAATACCCAATTATTACATTCGCTCCCTTATTCTCGGCCACGTCAAAGAACGCGAGAGCTGACTGCCGTTAAGTTTCGTGCCGGGAGAAGAACCGGGAAGTAGATCGATGCGGGGCTGTCAAGCGGGCTTGTGCGAAGAATGCGAAATTAGAGTGTTATTACGCGAGACGCGGCCGCTTTAAGGACGGGGAACATATTTCGCCCGTGAAACGATCTCTGCATTTGCATACATAACATCCTACGCTTACACTCCCCGGGATATCTGTATTTATATTTATACTGTATGGGGGAACTTTGAGAGGGAAATATCGGCATAGACGGTAATAAACGACCTCAGTGTAGCGCCGTAAATGCAACGGCGCCGATCCATTTCCGGTTATACTTTAGTTAACTCTTCTCGCAAAATGGGGACCCTTACCTTGTTGCTGTTCTGTCCCATATCGAGCTCGCGATTATAGCGCTTCTCGCCGTAGATCCAGTCCTGAATTACCTTCTGAATTTCCGGCTTCTCCGGGTCCACTAATCGAAAAGCGGTGATATTGGTCCCGCCGTGTCTGAATTCTTCCAAATCGACGGTGTGCAGATCCTGAGCATTAGAATTTCAAATGTTTAAACTCCCGGACGACATTAATTACGTACAGCGTAACAATGTACAATGTAACACGTGCATTATATTACAATAACTTAATAATTAATTTTCATGGGAAGTTATAATTCGTCACTAATAGGGACATCTCAGGAAGGGATTTCCCTAGTGACCACATATTATAATTGTAATATCATGCATTTCTCTCTCCTATCACCGCACACAACAAATTTTGCACAAATATTACTGCGTAATCCGATTTAGAATTTCCCTGCCAATTCATGCTCATGACTCACACATGCACAGTTATAAATGCTATTTTATAGAGAAATAAACATAATCTGACCCTAAAAGTAAATTAATAATCCTGCGATTTTTTGTGTGTGACCAAGTTCAATACAAGTAATAGAATGGAGTAACAGTGAAACAGTAGACGCACTAATGTCGCGGATCGAAACGGTTCCCGTCGGAAACTCCGCTTTACGGTTTACCGCGAATTAATCATGTGGGATAAATTTCAAACGGATTTGCCGTAAAGCCCACGTGACATTAGATCTCTCTAGAACAAAACGTTCTAGGTCTTGCTTCAGACACGCAGTTGGGATCCCTAATCACTTTGACAGCGGTAGATGCTGAATCTACTAGAGCCGGACGGCATTATGTGTGATTTCAGAGATTGATGTTCCGCATCAACATGTCCAATAGAGGTTCGGTTTTGCCTCAAACGTGTTTGCACTGTCAAAAGTCAAAAGTATAAGAGTGCTTAACAAATTATAACGATCAGGAGTGCACGTCTATGGAACCTGGTGTATTGTAAATTTTGTTCTTTCCGAAAATTTGTTCGTTTCAGTTAGAAGAATGGTATCAACAAATCTGCTCGGGATTCTCACACAAAAGAACGATCCACTGAAAATTACTTCTGTGTGTGGGTCCATCCTCCTCTTTCACGAGTTTCCTTTTAATATGAACCGTCCCGCGTTTCACTTTTCACGTGGCATAACGTTATATTCTCTCTCTCTCTCTCTCTCTCTCGTTGCTTTTATTCGAAATCACCCCGCGCGAATGCGAATGTATTATTGAAATCTTCATGCGAAGAAACTCACCGTAGCTCCTCTCCGTAAACTGGAGCAATTTAAAACATTGAATTGTTTGCAGTGCTGCTGCAATAACGGAAAATAATCGCGTATTTCTGCATGATTTAAGTAAACAGACGTGTATAAACGAAGATACGTGACGCATAAATACGCCGACGGCGCGTGTTGGATTCTGACGGGACATTTAATTTAGAGAAATTAATTGCATTATTCAACGTTGAAAATTAACTAATTAAATCGCCATTCATAGCAGCGCATTCTATAACATTTCCCCGCTGAACGGGGAAACTGTCTTCGTATTCGTAAAATTTATAACTAAGATAACTGAGATGATTCTAAATAAAAGGGTCGATCAACCCGGAATGGTTTTCTGTCAAAAATTGCTTGGTTCATCGTCAATGCATTTGTCTCGAGACCGACCGAATTTATGATATAATTTATAATGTTTTTTTTTTGTATTACAAGTGAAGAGGACCTAAAATAAGAACGAAACAATTTCGTTTCATAATTTTGTATTAAAATCTAATAAATTCAAGCGACCCTTGCCTGCAATGACTTCTTTTGGCTTCTAACGTCTTTTGTACTGCACGTGATTATAATCCGAGGAGCCCCCTATTATACAATTGAGTCTCATGTTACATTAATATATTGTTAGGCTGTACTTATATATCATAACGGGTCCTTGCGGTCTATCCTATTTAACGAGCTACATCATTATCTTCTATAATATATTAAGGCGATTCTCGAACGCGGTAGAGGCGCGCATTAATACGTTACAGGGACACAATGCGCCGCCATTTATAGCCTCTTTCTCAGGCACGCTTGGCACCTGAGTGGGAAGGACGAAGCACGAATTTGTGTCCTCGATGTATTCCTGCCGGCTATCGGCAGGAATAAAGATAACTCAAGTACGGAGCGCGCGCACCTTCTCGTCGAACCGTTATCTATATCGGTGACGCCGGTGGCCGACGTGATTTAAAGTCGTAGCTCGAAGGCGCGTCTCCACCCCTCCCCCCGACCCATCTTCTCGAATGCTCGCGGAGGAGCCGCCGCGGCCATTTGTTATCCTTTGTCCCGCATCCGGAACATGATAGATAAATCCGGATCCGCTGTCTTCACGAGTAGATCGGCACGCTCGGCGACGCGTCCTGCCGATGGGCGCATCGATCGGCCGTCGCAGTGATCGATCATCGTCACGCCTCACGGGCTACATCCGGTCCGCTCCGCTTCTTCGAGGCGCGTCCGCTCCACGCGACAATGATATTGTAACCGGGACGTAGAGTGACGCACAATAATGGCAACCGATGAGAATGTGTGTCGCCGTTCTTCGTCTACGAATTTTCCTCTCTCTGTCCCTCGGCTTCTCTGTCATTTACTGCCCCCCTGGCGATCGTAGTGTAACGATCACCGGGCTCGGGAGAGAGGCGACACGAAGATGAGGGCCATGAAGAGGGCCATTTCGAAGTGTAGTGAGTACGTTCTCAGATTAATAATATGCAGAATTCGAGCATCGCTCGACGCAGTCGAATGTATCGGTGCGAAGGTGATCTTCCCTTCGAAGTGATCCCTCGTCCTCGAAGCGTGATATTTGGTATTTCATGTTTCTAACATTTTTGAAATAGTGAAAAAAATCGCGCGAAGGATGACACCCAGCCGAATGTCGTCGTCGTGTTTGGAGAACAGTTCGCACGGAACCCGCTCAAGAATTTTCCGTCACTCCGTACGCGCAAGTGACGCAGCTGACTGCCGCCATGAATATTTATTCAGAGCACTCTCGCTAGTTTTTAACGAGCTTACAATATTATCGTTTATCGTTTATTTCATCATCGGAGGAAAATCATCGTTCCATTTACCAGGCAGATTCAATTATCTCATTCCCCGCTTAATGCACGATATAATATCGCATGTGCGCGCCGTCGGGTTATTGCCGTCGTCGGAGGAGTGGTGGCTGGCTGGCTGGCTATAATAGCGTGGGCAACTTAGAGGAAAACGCGGAAGCACCGCGAGGAGACGCAACGGGTGAGTGCTGTTATTGCACCCACTATACAAACCTGCCGCTGTGACTTCTTCCTACCGCGGTGATTCGTCGACGCACCGTGGTGATAGTCTCCCGCGTTTCCCGTGCGAAATCGCGAACGCACCCTCGTGCACACTAGGGTTCCGCGTCAGAGTAACTTTGACGTCGATCATCGATGAATATCGAATTACACGGTAACACTGATATTATATTAACATCGATGTTTCTATCAAAAATTATATTTTGTCACTGCGTAATTTGTACACATGTGTACTAAGCATTTAATTTTTTAGCCAGTATTATTAATAAACTTTCTGAATAAATATTTTTCCGTTCTAATATATTTTATTTACTTAGTATTATTTTGTTTATTTACGACAGCAAATATGGATTAGAATTTTCAACAAATTTTATTTTTAGATTGCGAAAATAATATTCGTGATAGCGGTTTTCCTCTTAAGCGGTTTCTTTGTTGCGTTAATATTAATTCCGCCTTGGAAAATAATCTTCCTGATGGCACAGACGTTGCTACCGCAGATATAATTGTCGCATTATTCTATATAAAATAGGACATGTTCATTTCCTTCCCACATTTTTAGCGGCTTGTCTGAACTACCGGTTAATGGCATATTTAGATAGAAACATAATTCAGATGACCTGTCATCGCCTTGGGGATTAGTGCAAATAGAAAAATATCAAAGATGACATGGATAAAATATCGATATACATCGTAAGACATCAAGGCGAAAGTATCGATGTATCAACCCATTAACCCATATCGATATCTACTCGGTATTCTTTTTTACGGAAGCCTAGTGCACACGTTGCATTGAGCTGCGTCTGCGAGTCACGCACGAATAACGATAGCTATCGATCGCGACTCGATCTCGCAATCGCAGTCGCGGCATGAAATATCCCTCGCACGCTTTCCGTGTCGGCGAAGCGCTGGAAAACCGATCGCCGTGTTCTCCTCCTCCTCTTCTCGTTTATCTCGATACACAAGCAAAGAAGCGTGTAAATACGCATGCTATCGGATTTTTGTTCACCTGCAAGAGTGCGACTCTGTTTTTTCACATCGTGTTATCAGTAGCCGCGGGATACGGCAAGAATATCACTTTTCACACTGCGCTGAGCTCGGCACTGCCGGGGTGGTCTGTCATTAAATTCCGCTCACTCGTAACTTGTTGTTTGAAACGGGAACAACGGAGCGCGAGTATGTACGTGGGCGTGGAGAGTATCATCGAAGCCGTTTGACAGATGGTCCGTACATGGCAGATGTGTCCGCGCTCTGCACCGCACGGACAACAGTAGTGCATACGTCGAGCAGGCGGAATATTTCAAGGCGGAACGTTTAATTTGCAATCGTTTGCACTTATAATGAATCACCCGCATCGGCAACTATCACCTTGTACCGCGGTTACTTTTTGGATAGAGAGAAGGAGGGGAAGAGCACGCGATGGAACATTTCGTATCTTCTGCGCGCGTACAGAAACGGGGATTATAAGTTGACGACGGCAGATAGGGATTAAAAATCGATTATAAATTCATCTTCGAAAAAAAAAAAACGCAGAACTAAAAGGAACACCTGTGAATCCGTAGAGGCGGCCCTAAGCCTTTGAGCCGTTTAAAATATTTCGCGATTTTGTGAAAAAAAAAAAGTACTTTATAGCGAAAACTCGCTCGGAAAATGTATTCGATTTCATGTGAGTCGTATTGCCGCGAGTGCAAGGCGAAAATCCTGCGGCGTATCATCGCGAACGATGGATGCCCGTAATAAGAAGCTTAATGGCGGCCAAGGCTATAACGGCTATAACAATCATCGTAACCGTAACGGGCATAATAACCGTAATGAGCGCGCAGGGGAACGCCAGGACACGCGGCCGTCGCTAAATTCGACGGAACAGGATGCTGCTGCAAGATCCGTGGTCGCCCCCTTCCCTCTCTTCTTCGGTGAGCAACACGACGGCGAGAACGGCGGATGCCATAATTTCATTGCGAAATCACTGTTTCATGGGGCGGACTTAATTCGATGAAAGGTAATTCGTCGAAAGCCAAGCGGAGTGACCGAGCAAGATTCATTAATGCTCTCGTCCGCCCCGGGAAACAGCGGCCGCCACGCGGTGTGTGTGTACCTATATCCGCCTACGTGTACGTCCATGCAGACTTCCTGATCGTGGCGCGGAAAGGTCAGGTTGATGGATGACGGCCAATTTTTCCCTCCGAGAGCCTTGACGACTGGCCGACGTGAGTGAAAATAAATAGCTCCGACTTGGGACGTATCGTCTTGGGGATCGAGCGAGACACGTTGAATTCACGCGCGCGATGGAAATCGGCCGCGACATTCGGTAATTATTAAGCAGCCTTATCCTCCTCGATCTTCCTCCGATGCATCTCACCTTCCACGGATCTGGCCGCGCGACCCTGCGTCCAATTTATCACTCTCGCTTTCCCGGTATTAGATCATGGTACGTACGCGCGATAACGCCTCGAGGACTGCGCCCGCACTCGGTCTAGCGTCCGCGATAATTAATATTCAAATGTCGTAATGTAAATTAACTCTTGCAATCTGGGAAGCCACTGTAGTGGCGCGGCAGTAATTTGTGAAACACAACTAATACTATTACTAATATTATTATTATTATCGACTTTTCCACAAAAAATAGTACACCACAATAATAGTTCCACACAAAAACAATGTAATGTTAATAATTTCTTTGGAATGAGATATAAAAAGAAAATATAAGAGACCCGCTGTTAAGATTCGCAGTTGGACTGATCTTCCTAATGCTCACTTCTTTATAATGTATAAATTTCATAACGTGACGTAAAAAATAAAAAGATCTAAAAGATAAAAAATAGAAAATAAATTAAAAACGTGGGAAGAAAAATAAATGCATAAATATATTTATTTCTCGTTCAAATATATGTCAAATTTATTAATAAAACATACTTTATGCAAATAATAAGAGACATTTTATTTTATATTTTGACTTTCTTCTTATTATCACATACAGAGTATCTGACGATATGGCGAGCCAATGTACGTGCACAACAGCGTTCTTCGTTTTACCGTCAAAAACATTACATTATTGACATATTGCGAAATATTATGCATATTAAATTTGTCCACTGAGAAAAATATTCGATCATATCTGATCGGATAATCTAATAAAAAGTAACGAATGGGTATATTCGATCAAACGCAATATCCGATCATTTCGTTATTTCATCCGAACAAATCATACCTTTTATTCGAAAATTACAACGGAGATATACAAAGAGCGACTTATTTTCCATTTAGGTATCATCGGTAAAGGTATTCATTACTTGACAATAAGACAATAAAAATAACAATCGGATGTATCATTTAATCGGTTTATCCGATGGAAATTTTTCTCAATGTGTTTCTTCATACATGATATAAAAAGATTTCCGTACGATTAAATGAGAAAAAAATTAATTTGAAGAAATAGTGTCCGTACAAATCCGGGAAGTCACTATAGCGGCGCAACGGAGGTGTCATGCTTTTTTTTACTAAAGCATACCCTGTAATGTATATGAAAATATTTCAGTTCAAAAATTGTAAAAGTCATCCGCAAAACCGCCCTGTAAAGGTTAATAGCAGCTTGATAACGTGCGTCGGTTAACACGACGCGATTTTTGTCATGCACGCGACTGCGAAATGGACGTAAATAATGAATAGATCTACAAGAGACTTCATCGATCTTCCTCGAGTTATTTACGACAAACGTGAGATTGGGATGGACGCGCGACGAAGTCGGAACGTCGGCGAAATGAAACAATTCGAGTTCAGTCGAGACCGCCGGTAGTAGCAACGAATTCCCCGCTGTCTGATTGCTCTGTTTAACGAACTAATTATCTTGAAAAGGATCTTACTTAGTTATTTTTCTATCACGTTTCGCACGCGAAGTTTGAAGGAGCAAAATGAGACGACCGACGCGATTTGTCATCATTGCCGGTCTACGTTGTCCACGTGAAACAACCGTCTCGTCGGTAGAGTCAACGGAAAGGAGGCGGAAGAAAGCGTATCTCGATTCTCTCGCCGCGCCTGAACAAATACCCTCGCTGATTTACATTTTAATGGATCTAAATTGAAATCTGGTAGAGGGGGCGTCAAGATAAATTGCGCCGCTCGCGGTTATATAGCGTGTCCGTTTAAAGCCCTATTTATTTTTTATCGCTTACTGCCGCGGACGTCGTCCTCGGCGACGGCTCGTCGTGGCGTTTCGTCCGACACGACGCCATCCAGCTTCCGCTCGCGTCGCCGAGGCGACTGTAAATTACTAATTATCCTGAGACAGCTTCCAATTTTAACTGTAACGAACCCGGCGTCTCCGCTTTTTGCTCGGGCGAATAAACTCCTCGGGGGTGGCGCGCTTCGTTTTCACTCGCGTGGTAATTATTTCGTTATGTCTACGACGAGACCGATTTGGGCAAGGCGAATGATAATTCTCAAAAAAATCTCCGTTAAAGATATAACGGGCGTCCATTATTTTCAGTGGCGCATCACTCATTAACTTAGTATTTATCAAGCAAAATTTTCATTCCGATATATTTATTTCATTACCTAAATAATAAACGTTAATTTGAAATGAATTTGAAATAGATTTAAAGCACGTCCGGCAATTCTTGACGCAACGCTTGGTGTGCAGATAGAAAGGATCGTACTGAACAGTAAATTTATTTTGCAAACTTCGCAATTGTTGATGGAAAATTAATTAATCTGTGTAAGTGAAAAGATTTTCATTACAAATATCTTTCGAACGATCAAACTTTTTCTAATTGCAAGAGCGATAATTTAGATCATATTTCAACACAGCGCGAGTTTCATCGAATTCTCACCAAACTCGTTTCATAACCTTCTTTAAAGTGGAGTAACTTTTGATTCAGGCTCTGAATTACTGTCAAATTTTCAGTGTCACTTTTAAATGCAATGTTGATCAATTTTTTCATTATCTTGACTTAAGGGGCGATACAACCCTAAAGATACGCTCGCCCGAATCGATTTCTCTACGTAACAATTTATTTCCGATGTTTGCGCCAGGCAAAGGGCAGCCGTCGCAGAAATAATGCCGAAGTACGCCGCCATTTAACGCTACATCGAACAGTTTCCGCGTTCAGTTGCAATCCTCAATCACGACGGGCAACGGAGACAACGGAAAGCAATCTCTGGCCAGCGCCGCCGTTCGCACGGTAATCGATTTCCTCGCTCTTCTTAACGGTAATTTACGAGGGGTGCTCGAATATTCCGACGGCGAAGTTATCGGTCGAGTCTTTCGGCGTTCGACGGGGAGGGAAGCTCGCCGACGGGCCGCAGGTGTCGCGATGAAGATCGCGAGAATTAGTCTTACAGGCGCGATGTGCAATTTCGCGGCTACCGGGATTACCTCGTAGCGCGCCCGGTGACGAACGGGAAGTCGATCGTTAATCGCGTTTAATCTGGGTACCCACCAGAGAGGTGATAAGGTAGCTGTGATAGTCGCTCATCATTCCGATCTGCTGCGCCTGCTTCAACACGTCGTAGATCCTCTCGGTGGAGCAGTCCAGCACGATGTGCGACTCTGCGGAGTTCTTGATCTGCTTCAACATCGGTCTGAAACGGACAAGCAAGAACGGTCTCTTCGTAAATAGCAGTTTGCCTGAGGTAAAGCGCACAAACAGCGGTAAATAAAAATTATAATCAATTACAACCGATTAATTATTAAAAGTGATAATCTAATGAATTGGGAACCGACTCGTTGTTTGCTTAAAAATATCGTCATCTTACTCACTTCGTCGTCCTTTTATATTGCGTTATTCGCTTTTCCGATTCGAGCTGCGTGGCGAAAAACCGGATACAGAGCAAAACGTTATGCATATGCGTGCGCGTTTCAACAATGATATATCTATATATAAAGAAAATAGCACGCTCTGCGACGTTGTTCGAAAAAAGTCCGCGTGTATAACCGGATACAACGTTTACTGTTTTGGTAGTTGTCGCCCGGTAGGAAGTAACTAGTTTCAAATGTTTTTACTCGGGTTAGAATTGCAATTTCGTGACGGAGGGGAGGAAGAAAGGCCAAGTTAAAAACTGGCGCTTCGAGAATGCGAATATAGCGGACGAGTCAGCTCAGTGGTGTGTCGGAGATTAGTTAATAGATATCTGTCGGCACACGAGGGACGAATGTCACAATGTAATATCCAACTCGGACATTCGCCCGCTCCCGCTCTGATGCTCTTCGGGGACCGAGCGGGTTCCGATTCCGGACATGCTTTTCGCCGTGTACTGCTGATAAAAATTTCATACCGCGCCGGCTGCTCTCCGGCCTCTCGGCCGTCCTTCGGGCTCCCTCTCGCTTCCCGTCATTCAACATGCACGATAATGCGAATCTCCTTATGCAGCCGGTGGAAGTCGGAGCCAGGCTCGCCGTGGGAATTTTTCATGCTCTATGCATAATTTAGCGAAAGTGCCCTTTATGCTACGCTGCTCTCGCAGCCGTATCGTCCTGTGAATTTCACAACGCCCGCCCCCCTCGACGATTGCGTCTCTTTCCGCGTCCGCGAGTTTATCGAACGACGACTCTGAGAAAGGGAGACGCGGCGATTATACTTCGGGCGTCTCGCGAATATTTGCCGAATTATAGCGTTCACTCTCTCAGATGGGCGAGCGCGGACAATTTCGGGTCGGTAAACTGGCAATGCAAAAGGAAAGATTTCCCGGGAAATGGGAGGATCATGTCGCAGCGAAAATGGCGAGAGCTCCGATAACGTTAGTTGCGGCTGTTTGCTAGATCAATTAATCTCGATCGGTCGGGAACGATTTGCGAAAAAACGTTGGAGAAATGATAAATTCCAAAGGTGGAGCGCGGTTTCCCTGTAGCGGCAGTTTACTACGGTAATAGGCGTCACGTATTTCGCGCAATACACTCTGCGCCTTTGGTGGCTTTACGATGTTACCGGGCGGGACAGCCGTGAAGCGCCTCGAAATACCTGCGACATCATTTCGGCGTCTCAGCGCCGGTTACTCGCATTTTGTCACCTTTTAGCTTCCTAAGGGCTTACCTCGTGTGATTTCATCGAGTTGCCCTGCAGCATCGGCTCTCACGCGCGAGACTACCCCGAGGACCGGGGCTCTCTGTGTGACCTGCACCGACACGGACCTCTGGTTAGTCGGTGTCGTGCCGTATTGGAGCGGTGCGGCCTATTTAACGCTTTCGAAGGCACGTGCTTTCAAGTTAGTGGAACGAAAGTTCGAATGTTTTTACTTGTTGCTCAATTATCGCTAAAAAGTTGAAGTTTTCTACAAGGCGAGCGCGAATTCCAGCCGATCGACCCGCTTCTGTTTAATATTATTAATCGATGAATATGAGAGCAGAAGTAACGATGTGAAGCAATTTCACATCGAGGCAGGTACGAGTGATAACATTAATGTTGAACGCAACGTTCGCATCTTCCGACGAAACATATTGTTAACGCACGAAGGCTATTAATACAATAATTGTTAATTTGTCATTATTTGCTGTTAATGTTATCATTACTATGCAATTGTAATGATTGTCACTGTAAATTAGTTATGATGTCGGTTCTAAGCTAGGCACATTTTCGATTGATAGGTATAGATGTTACGGTAATTATGCCGGGTTAGTGCATAACCCGAGGTAGACGTCCATCCAATAGCAAGGGTTAATGTGCATTATACGTGTATACGCACGGAATAATTCGCTGATCGATTCGGCGCGGCTCGCATGTTTTGAATATGTAAAATTCGTTTCGCGCCAATCGGATGTGCGTTCTCTGCTGATAAAATGCTGATATATCTCGCAATATTACGTACCGAACGCGCGGGATTATTTTGCAAATTTTGCCAAGGCTATGCGGCCCCGCTTCCAAAATATCGCGAATTTTTATCGATACACAGTGCGCCTCGAATTCGATGCACCGCTGCGTCATTTTTCAAACGTGCAATTTATTTCGTCCTCATTAATGCGGCACAGATATCCACGCGGTATCATGAAAATAAATCTATACAGAGAGCCAAAAAAAAAGACCGGTATTACTTACGCGTCGACACGGTAATATCCATCCAAATCGATGATTTATGTGATCGCCCGCGATATCAAGTTCCCCCGACGGTTTATAAAAGAAGTGTAACTCGGTCTGTAACCGATTGCAGACAATCGTTTCGTGCGGTAACGGGGCTGCAAACTTTGTCAACGATAAGGAATCGATACGTCGCATTGCAAAAAAGAAAAAGAAAGACGGCTCCGGCGTTTGCTCGAGCTTCCCCTCTCGAATGTAATACCCGCTTTCCCGCTTTCGCAAGAGAATCGAACAGCCTAACGTAAGACGAGCAAACGTCTTCCTCTCTCGCTCTTTTTTCCCTTCCTTGTGAGAAAACCACTTCTCGCCGCACTTTAGCCGACCGTCGTCGTCACCGCCGCACCAGATAACTTTTGAGATGGCTCGCGTGCGATAGTCAACTTTCCTTTCCGCGGAATGCTGCGAGAGATCGAGAGACATCACTGCGAAACGCACGACAGCGAGTCTGTTGGAATTTTTATTCGCGCAAAAAGCGGCAACGATCGCGATAGTAGTTGAAGTAGTGATGCCGGATTTTCACTGGCGACAAAGAGGTCTCTTCATAAGTTCGTTATTTACTGAAAAAATACTTTCCTATAACTTTATTCGACTATTTAAATAATAAATATTAATTTTGAGCGAAATTAAAGTAAATATATACGTAATATTATAATATTATATAAATATATTATTTATTTTTTATTTTCCTTATTATGCTTTATTTATATACGTTAATTTAGCTAATGTAGATGCGTACATAATAGAAAGGGATATATAAATATTTTAATTATGTATATCGCAGATGTATTATAGTATAAATTGTAAATTTCCTATGGCTATATTTTCAAAACAAAATGATAAAAAATTCTGATCTTTTTACACGATGTTTCTATATTAATAGCTACCAATTGATCAACCGTTTTCTAACTTTACAAACATATAGATAATATTTCCATGAATATTGCAGCTAAAATAATACCACCTAAGGAAATGGTTTGACGGACCAACTGTCTGAATCTTACCACTTTTACACGAGAATTCTTAAAGATTATCGCGACTATGTGGATAAAATCTCGGGAGTACCGAGATAAATATCTTGTTTTTCACACGAAATGAAAAGCCAATACGATCTTTGGAGGTTTCATGTGTCGCGACGGGAAAATATTATCAGAATCTGCCCCGTCGTTACGTGAACGAATGTAATGGCAAATACGCGATATTATTATGCGCGCAACGCGCTCGTTGTTGGTAATGAAGATACATCGTTACGTACGATATTTACCGGATCAAATAAATAAGAGTTTAATGGATTGGCGCGCTCGTTAGGATATTGCCGGCGTCGCAGCGGAAGCGATCGTTCATCAGGTGCGCGCGATCGAGACGCAGACCGGCTCGACGGAGGGACGCGCGCTGATGAAAAATATTATATATAATATGCCCGGCAATTCGATGTGTTCGGTAATCAATATCCTCGACCGTTACGCGACGCCCCAATATTTGCCTTTCATCAAGGAAATGCAAAACGCCAAAGACATGTCAATTTCGCGAACTCGCTAAATGGATGGCGCAATTCTTCGCGACGGCGCGAGTGTCCGCGGTTTCTCGACGGTAATAACATTAAATTATTGTCTCACTCATCTCGTAAGAATCGCTCGGCGAGCAGTGGTGAGAAATTTTCGCAAACGTTTGCGAAAGCAATACAGAAGGTTCAAGCGCAAATTTTCGAGAATTTCGCGTCCGTGGTCCTCGCTAAATTTTCATTAAGGTAGTTGTATCGTAAAGTACCGGATTTTCAGCAGCGATATTAAAACTCTTACATAAGTTTATTATTTACTGAAAAGAAATTCTTTTCTATTACTTTATTGAATTATCTAAATAACAAATGTTACTTTTGAGCGAAATTAAGAAAAATATATATAGACATAATATTACAAACACGCGGATATTATTTATTCTTGCCTTTCTCATTAATGTTTTATACGTCAGTTGAGGTGCATTCATAATGTAAGGTGCTATATAAATATTAAAATATGTGTACATATATCTCGGTATTATTATAAATTATATATTGTTTGTAAAAACGATACGCGAGTTGAGGAAGTTTAATACGTCGTTAATTTGTATTGTTATTAGTGTCGTTTGTCGAAAGTAATTTATGAACGTCGATATACGTTTGAACGCGACGAAACATGTCTAACGTTACGTTCGGTCTCGTTCCATGACGGTTGAATGCAATTGGCGGTTGACACAGCGGCAGTAGTATATTGAAATCAGATAATCAATAAAGCACAGTTGCGTGAATCGATTATATACTTTATTACAGCCTGGTTATACATTGCAGGGAAGATACTCCGTGGCTGGTAGTCAGGGTGTTTTTGCTCGCGATGCGCTTTCAACGCGCCTTGGGAAAGACTCCCGAATGTGATAAAAATATCTCACTACATTGCTGATATTACCGCTCTCATATTTCGAAGAAACTCAAAGCGATAGTACTTATTACCTCACCCTGAATATATTTTTTCATTATCCATTATG